GCTGTTTATAGACTGCTATGTCTTTGGAAGAAGAAGTGTGGCTTCTCCCTTACTATTACTGTGGGTCTCCTCTCTCCGTCTCGTCACCCTAGTATCCCTGACTTTATTTAGCAATGTTACTGAGCAGCCTTATATTAATATAACAAGCTAGTAGGTAAGTAAGTAAGTAAGTAAGTAAGTAGATAAAAGCCTTACACAAAAGTTCTCTTTGGAATAGTCTGCTAATTCCAAATGCTAGCTACTCCAAAGACAAAATTTTGGCACATATGGGCACTTTCATATACAAAACATAGTGTATTTTTAAAAAGGCATTTGCCATGTGGGGGGGGGAGGGGAGGAAGCATGTTGTTTGTAACATACTATCAAACAGGTGCTGATGACAGTCACACAGTCACACCGACTTGTATCCAGTGCTGATGATGCTTCTCAGGGCTTTTCCCGCTATGCTACAAAAATCCGCAGAATACTAGTAAGTTGGCTCAGATGAGTCCATGGCAGGACACAGAAGTGAAAGCACATCCCTCAGGGAATGGCAGGGCTATTGTACTACCATAAACAGCCTTTCAAGGTGCCTCAAATTTGGCACGGCATTGCTACACATGTCCCCTATTTTTCACAATTCTGTGATGATCTGTGCACAACATTTAGGATGGATGGACCCATTAAAGTTTGGTCCATCCCAGTTTTACATGGTCCCATTTCTGTGTTAATTTGAAAGGGAAAAACCACATAGCAATACAGAAGGTCCCCCCCCAAACCCCTAGAACTTAAAAAGTGGTTTGAGGGCTGCAGAGCTGCATATGTCCTGTAACAATTCTTTTCTGGACCTTTAAAAGCTGTAGAACCAATCATTCAGCCTGGAGTAGGTAGCACACAAGACTCCTTTGCTTTGAATACTGTAGAACAAGTATTTCAAGGAGTGACGGAATTGGATGACATTGTGTTGCTCTCAGAGGCAAAGTACAGGGGGGAAATTGGCTGCCTTCAGTTTTTGCACGGGGGCAGCTATGCTTTTTTATACAATTCCCTCTGATAGTGACAGAACATAATCAAGTTCCATCACTCCTAGGAAGGATTTGGTCTACTTTATTTAAAGTGCCTGTAACAAGGGGCTCCATGTGCTAGCCATCCCAAACTGAGCAGCTAACAGAGGGAGCACTGAAGCCCTCAGATTCCTTGCAAAGGGATCTGCCGGGCTGATGATTCTGAAGTGAACACAATGGAATCAGGTGAGTCTGCTTTGGAATCAGTCCTGCAGATTCCTCCTCCATCCCTGCACAACATGCAATCTTTCCCTTCATGACAAAGGTGTATGGAGTGAGGGCTTGCAAAGTTGCTGTTTCATTCCAACCACCAGTTAGTTAGTTAGTTGTGTGCATGGTGTGATGCAGTTCAGGCAAAGGGGGAAGACACAGTCAGGCATGCACCGAATCCTATTGCATCTAGCATAGCTGTGGCTTCATTTTCAACTGACCATTGCTGTTATTACTGGAAAATCCACAGAGTTATTAACCTACAAGAATTCTCAATAGCCCACCAATATCTACGATCTGAAACAGAAAAGAGAAATAGAAGAGCTTTCCTGTTTAGGCAAGCTGCTGCTTATAAGCCTGTCCATCTATATGCATGCATACATATTGTGCTTAGTGTACTAGACACATTGCAATTAGGATTTACTTTTTAAAAGATGACTGTCATATGATCTAACAAACAAAACACAGAATGGATAAGGAGTATGAAAGGAAACAAATGAACAAACCAGAACAAATGTTTTATATGCATCATATCAAGGCTCATCTGGCTGGGACAACTCAATCAGATGGGTGGAATGATGATGATGATTGCTAGAAACAAATACTGTAGGCAGGAGGGAGAAGGCTAAGGGGAAGAAGTAGGGCTAAAATGTCATTTGTCTGTTTACACAACCAAATAAAACCCAGTAGTGTTCAATTATGGTGTTGTTTGGTCACAAACCTGTGTATATATGCACATACACCAATTAGTTTCCGGGCCCAATTCAAAGTGCTGGTTTTGACCTAAAAAAGTGTTAAACGGCCCAGGACCGCAATACCTCAAGGACCGCCTCTTCCCATATGAACCCACCTGGACCCTGAGATCATCTTCTGAGGCCCTTCTTTGTGTGCCTCCTCCACAAGAGGTCAGGAGGGTGGCAACACGAGAACGGGCCTTCTCTGCAGTGGCTCCCCATCTGTGGAATGCTCTTCCCAGGTAAGTTCACCTGGTGCCTTCATTATACACCTTTAGGCACCAGGCAAAAATGTTCCTTTTCAACCAGGCCTTTGCTTGACTTGATTTACATCATATACCCTTTTTAAAGAATGCTGGCTCTTTTGGGGGTTTTTTATTGGGTTGTTGGTTTTGTTTTGATTTTTTGTATCTTATATTTTATGTGAACCGCCCTGGGACCTTCGGGTATAGGGCAGTATAGAAAACAAACAAAGAAACAGCGAGCTCAGGTGTACCTGGATCACCCAGAGGACCAGCTCCATCCTTGTGGAGAGAAAAACCAAGAATAGTAAGGCTGCATTCTCATCTCTGGAGAGACCTGAGCCTTGAAAGTTGTAGCCAAGATAAGCTGATTGGTTTTCACTCACGAGACAAAAGTGATGAGCAATGACCTCCTTTCATGCAAGTCACACAAATGGCTCATTAGAAACATCAGCAGCATCTTGCAGAATCTGTTCAGTTTGTAATTAAATTTCCCCACTTTTTGTTTTCCAGAGGCTTGTTTGCTTTTCATTAAACAAAATGCTTTGCATCATTGAGTGTTTGCTGCCACCACAGAGACTGACTTCAAGAGGGAGCTACAGTGATAGAGGTTTGGGGAAGGGGAGGAAGAGTAAGCTAACCTTGCTTTCCATTCTCATTTGAATGCTATAGGGTGGTAGGGTCATGAAGCAGGGCAGGAGAAATTGTCCTGTCCCACATATCTAGTGCCTTATTTGTCAGGGAGTCTGATACTCAACTGGCTGCTATTTCCATGGTCAGTCAACTAGGGCTAGCACCATAGAGATGCAGGAGTAAAGCAAAGGCACCACCTGCATCCTGGAGAATCATAACCATAGGTAGCTTTCAGTTCAGCACCAGAAGTTCAGCCTCTGTGTTAGTCTAGTCTTTTTCTGAACTCTGAGAGTCAAGCAACCAGCAAACTGTTTTGCACTTGCCCTGCAAACCAGTATTTGGAAATTATTTCCTGTGGAAATCACAATACATTTAAAGAGCTTAATTTAAAGCAATAATGCATTCAGTGTGTTAGATAAACACGTCAACTAGGAACTTGATACTTTCACCATCAAATCAACTAATAACAAAAAAGTATACTCTTCGCAGGCATATACTGTTCCCTCTAACAGAAAACTCAGGTGGTTGAAAGCCTAACAGTTTAAAAGTGGAAAGGAACCACCTAAATATAAGGTTGTGGTTTCTACAAACTTGGAGAACTTCCTAGAAGTAAAGAAGTGTGCAAGTTAAAATGAACTTTTTTAGAAAAGCTGGGGAAACTGCTAGACGATAACCGATGAGGTTACAGAATGCTGGTGGTAGTCTACAGAGAGTGGGGCAAGAGTGGTCTGAGGAACCAGAAGCCAGGCAACCTGCGAGAGTCTATGGGAGCTTCTAGACAACCTGCTTATTAAGCATTAAATCCTGATTTGTCTGTGGAGAGCTTAGATAACACTCAAGCAAATGCAGTTTCCCATTACTTATTAAAAAACCCCCAAACCAAATCTTTTTGGGGGGAGCGGCTTTATTGTGTAACTGCTCAAAATCAGCTATACTTACACAACTTGATTTTATCTGTACAGCTGCTGACCATCTGATGCTAACATGCAGTTGGACCTGGAAAAAGGCAGAATGGGGTGGAACGGGGGCAGGGCTGGGTGCAGTGGGACTGGGCACACTGACATGCACTCTGCTGATGCATGGGGGCAGGAATGGAGCCCCTGTGCAAAATGGGTGCTGCCTGTATGCAATGGCACCCTGCCTCAGAACAGCAGCAGCCTGGAAGCAATCTGCGGGTGAGAGCAATTCAGCCACAGATAGCGGTGGGAGAATCTGCCTCTTTCCCTTTCTCTCAGTGTCTCGTTTTTTCAGTCTTAAGTTCATTTCTCCACATTTCCACATCAGTTGGGAATTCATCAGCACTTTAGTGTGACAAGTTCCTAACATACACATATTTGAACGGGATTTCCCCCAATACACACATTTCTGCAAAGAAATTTCCGTTAATGCAATGTAATTTTTTATGTTATTTTCATGAATAGATGGATTTCTCTGCACATTTTGCCGCAGTACAGACATGTTTTGTACTTGTTACTCGACTGAATGAAAATTTTCTGTATTGCAAAATTCATAGAAATGCAGATTTTGAAGGGGGTGGGGAGCTGTGTTTTGGTTTGCATATTGTTTCAGAAGTTGTAAAGTAGGCAGGTTTGCCTTTATTGAGAATTGAATCAGATTTTCCCCACAGCCCTAGTCACAGAAAGTTCGAAGGAAAAAAGGGAAAATGGAGAGCAGGAGGGAAAGAGAGCACAGTTTACAGTTAAGTATCCCAGACAGGGAGGGAGAAGACATTTCACAAGGTTTCATAGCAGAACTCAAATTGTCCCATACAGGAATGTTCCTGGTGGAAGGCGAAAAAAGCAATACCTTTCCCTCTTCGTACCACTCAGCTGTAAAGTGTTCAGAAACGGATCTGGTAGCAATATAAGGGACAATAGGAAAAAGATTGGGAGAAGAAAAATGTCTCATTTATTCCATCCTTACTCTTGAACTCCCTCCCCACCAAGTGAGAGGCCTGGATTACAAGGGGGCACATGCTGCTCTGCTGCAGCCCACTTCAGGTGTGCAGCAGAATGCTGAAGCCAACACAGAGAGCTGCCCAATTCCAAATCAGACCATTGGTCCATCCAGCTCAGTGTGGTCTACATTTGACGGGCAACAACTATGCAGGATTTCAGACATTTCAGCCCTACCTGTGGAGCTCCTGTCAGGGATTGAACCTGGCACCTTCTGCATACAAAGCAGAAAGTCTCTCACTGAGGCGCAGGCTTCGGTGAATGAGCTTACTAGCTCCCAACTTCTCATTACCTTACTTGACTTGGAGGGCAACATTCTGACATGGGGAGCCTGTTTCTACTCGGGCAAGTGTCCATATCAGTTTCTAGGTGCAGAGGCTGGAGCCAAAGTCAATGATACCAGCAGAGCAGTGGGACTGGAGCAGTGGCTCTGAAGTTAACTTAGCAAAGACCCAGAGGAGACTGAAGGGCTTATATAGCCACCCCCTTTCCAACTAGTCCACTGCTGGGTGATGGCTTCCTCATCCTGAGTAGATCTTTCCTCTACAGTAGACCCAAACTGGTACTCAAAGGGGCTTCCTGTCTGGTCCACCCCCCCCCCTTGCTCCTGAGTCCTGGAGAAGGGATGACTAAGGCGGGGCTCTTCAAGCTGCCTTTGGATTGGAGTGGGTTTCTTCACATAGGAGTGGGATTCTGCTTGGCGCCCCATGCCTCCACCCCTGAAGAGTCCTCTCCAGGATCGGGACCAGCCACGATCCTCCCCATCTCACATGGAACCCTGCTTTTCCAGGGTTCTACTTTACCTGGGGTGCTGAACCAAGTAGGATCAGGCTACCCACACAGCCACTCTCCAGTTGCAAAGGGCATGGGGTGGCTGTGGAGCTTGCAAGAATGTTCCTGCACAAACACTCCTCAAGCTTCACCACTTCCCTGAATGCCTGAAGGGGGCTTGTGCACTACTTCCCACTACAGGCAGCAGCATCCCACCAGACATTTCAGACTGGCTGCCATTTGTCTTTCTACTCCAGGGTGCTTTGGTGGATGCATGGACTGCTGGAATCTAATTCACTGTGGGAGGCATTTTGCTGTCAGTCATTCACCGTTCTTTTTGTGTCAGGTTTTGTTCTTCCAACGCAAAAGGAGCCTGTTTTTCTTTTAAATTGTATGGTATGTTTCAAAGAAAACAGAGGATGTAATCTATATATAATGCAATAAGCCAATCAGTACAAATGTTACAGCAATATGAAATGATGGCCCTCGCAGCTATCTTTGCGTTAGGGTACAATGTAATAATAGTGTGTAAAAATCCACTCAGGCTGAAGATTTGAGCTGCAGGGCTTTGCACAAAGAGCATTTTCCATTATGGGATAGGTTTGCCCTTTAACAGACTGCAGGCTATTCAGGGAAGCTGCAGTTGATTTGTGTGAAAAATTACTCATCAAAATGTAAGGGTGGAAAGGAAGACTATTCTCTCTTAATTGAAAAATAATTGAACTTTGTAACCGTTATGGTTAAATGAAGCAAACAGTCTTCACACAAAAGCTGGGCAATGCTTATTTCAGAAAGTCAGAGGTAGGCACAGAACTGCATGTCTGTAAATTGCACAGAAAAGTGAAGCTATTTCCTCCTAACATACACCTTGGAGGACACAGGGGTGGGATTGGCTTTACAGTTCAGTACCAACGAGGGGCACTGGCTCCTGGGGGCCGAGACCTTTTGCCCCCCTGTATTTTGGGGGTAGGGGCTGCCCCTCGTGTCCCAAAAGTGCAGAGGTGAAGCACAGAGCCAAGGTGTGGCGTGGCTGCAGTGGCTCCTCCTCCTCCTCCTGCCATGAAGGGGAAGGAGGGTCGAAGCAGTCTCTCACCAGTGGCAAGAGGAGGTGGAGGAGGAGCCGCCAGCCACTCAGCATCACAGCCACCAAATTCAGCTCTGCCCCAGCTCCTCTGACAGCACATGACACCGGGCGTCACATGCACAACTAACATTGGGACGTCACAGGTGTGACGTGGGCTCCCTCAGTAGCCCTTGGAAGCTGGCCTTTGTGGCACCAGCACTTTGAATTGCGCTCAGAAATGTACTAGGAACATTTTGTTTGCTTGATTGATTTCTATACTGCCCTTTATCAAATGATCTCAAAGCAATTCATAAGAAAAAAAATACAATATAATATAAACACACAAGAATAAAAGACACTATAAACGCACAAATAAATAGTTAAAACAGAAGCAACAAAACAACAACCTCCTCTTCCACAAACAAAATTCAAAAGGCTGCAGAATATTAATCAGCCAAACGCTTGGTTAAAGAGGAACAGTTTTGCCCTGTGCCTTAACATATATAATGAAGACACCAGGTGATTTTCTCAGGGGAGAGCATTCCACAAATGGGGAGCCACTACAGAAAAGGCCCATTTTCGTGCTGCCATCCTACGGATCTCACATGGAGGAGGCACACGAAGAAGGGCCTCTGATGATGAACACAGATTTCAAATCAGTTTACATGGGGAGAGGCAGTCCTTGAGGTATTGCAGTCCTGAGAATTTAAGGCTTTATAGGTCAAAATCAGCATTTTGAATTGGGCCCAGAAACTAATTGGTAGTCAGTGCAGCTGGGCCAGGATCAGTGTAATATGCTCAAATCGTCTTGTCCCGGTGAGCAACCTGGCTGCTGAATTCTGCACCAACTGTCTTCAGAGGCAGCCCTATGTATAATGTGTTGCAGTATTTCAGCCTAGAAGTTACCAGAGCATAGACAACAGAAGTTAGGATACTCCTATCCAGATAGGGGTGCAGCTGGGCCACAAGTCAAAGCTGATGGAAGCCGATTGAGCCGCAAGCGATAGCAAAGGATACAGGAATACCCACAAGCTACGTACCTGCTCCTTCAGAGGGAATGTAACCCTATCAAGAGCAGGTCATCTCCCAGCCATCCGGTCTAGGGAATCACCCACTAGCAGTGCCTCAGTCTTATCTGGATTGAGCTTCAGTTTGTTGGCTCTCATCCAGTCCATTGGACATTGGTCCAGCACATCCACTGAAACACCTGCAAATCTAAAGGAGAAGCAGAGTTGTGTATCGTCAACGTATTGCTGACAGCATACTCCAAAACTCTGGATGACCCCACTCAGCCGTTTCATGTAGAAGTTAAATAGCATAAGGGATAAAATTGAGGAACTCCACATTAAAGCCTCCACAGGGCTGGAAAGCAATCCCCAAGCATCACCCTCTGGGAACGACCATCCATGTAGGACTGGAATCACCGCAAAGCAGTGCCACCCCCGACTCAGACTGCTACTCCAGAAGGATACCATGGTCAATGGTACTGAAAGCTACTGAGAGGTTGAGGAGAATTTACAGGGACCTATTTCTCTCTCCTGACAGAGGTCCTCATGCAGGGCGACCAAAGCAGTTTCTGTGCCAAAACCAGGCCTAAACCCTGATTGAAACAGATCTAGAAAATCAGTTTCTTCCTACAACACCTGGATCGGGTCTCAACCACCTGCTAAAGAACCTCACCCAAGAAGGGGAGACCAGCAACTGGCTGGTAGTTACTTAGGTTTTCTGAATCCAGGGAGGGTTTTTTAAGGAGTGGCTTTACCACTGCCTCCTACAAGCTGCCAATAGGTCCTGTTCTGAAGGTTTACACATCTTGCCATTAGTCATTTGTTCATCCTACCCTTTTCAAACTTCGCTCTCCAAACTGCAAGAAGTCTTAAAAGTGGGTTTGTTGTGCTAGGGAGAAAAAGCCCTTTAAACCACTTTAACAGCACAAACCTAAAGTTCTGGTATGTGTTCGAATCCATCCCACAAAACAGTAGAAGTGTGGAGGCCACATTGTACAATACGCCATTTGCATGGGTGGAACGAAACAGGAGGAAGAACAGTTGAGTTGGAACCGCTTCTTGTGGTTGGCACTTTTAGAAATGGTTTTGCTTTCTATTCACAAGCTTTAGCATCAGCAAATTAACCCTCTTGGTCAGAGCATCCCATTCCACAGAGGAATGTGCAAATCCTAGGCCACCTGCCTTCCTGTCTGGCAGCAGGACCCAAAAGAAGAGGAGAAAGAAACAAATGGCTGTGAGATGCACACACCCACTTGGCACACAGCGTCACCGCAGCACAAGGATGCTAACATGTGGGCAGAATTAGCATTTCTCAGAGCAGCACAGCGTGCTGAAACACACACAGCACTTCTTTAGCTATGACGCTCTCTCCCCCCCTTTGCTAATGCAGCTAAAACAAAAACACCACATGCTCCTGCCTCTAAGGTGACTACGGATGCAGCAGAAGTAGAAAGCTTTACTGTTCCTAGACTGTACCACTTCAGGCAGGGAAATCACATGTTAAAATGCCCTTTCACAGAAAAGAAGAAAACTTCCTGCACATAGAAAACATTAGAAAGAAGACTGTCTAGGAAATAACTCTTCCCTCTCACATGCTAACATTCTGCGTGGAGGATTTCCCCCCTAAGTGGCAATTTAAACATTCAACACCTGTTCCTCATTTGCAGAATGAATGGCCTCCTTCACAAAAAGATGGCACCACGTGATTCTGCTGCACTTGTAGATTAGCAAGCAGGGATTGCGTGGGCCCACAACTTCCGTCCACTTTACATGCGCTATCAGGTCACAACAACCGTGTCCAAAATAAGGATGCATTAGAATCAAAACATTAAATAAATTGAGCTCCCCCCCCCCCCGCCTTTGGATATTTACACATGAGGTATTAAAGCATTCTTTGTATTGTCAGTAATGTGACTGTGAAACCTATACTGGTCAGAATCAGGTAACCTAATCCACCCATTTTTCCCAGTTTCCACATATGTATGCAATGCTCAAATGCTTTTTCGTTTCTTTCTTCCCTACCTTTCTCTTGCATATTCCCCATAGGTATCTACTGGCAGCATAATTATATCTGGGAATTCAAGGTTTGTGCCAAGGCCAAGAAATTGACCACAGACTTAATTACAAAGTGAACAGCTCATGATGGGGTAGAAATTTGATTCAGTTTACATTTGAAGGTGAACCTACATAATTTGCACTTTTTGAAAGAATATGTGAACCAAAACAGAGCCCATTTTTTGAAATCTGCACTCTGGTGAATTTTGCAATGCAGTCCCCCAACCAAGTAATGTATACAAAAATGGAAGCGGGTGGTGCTGTGGACTAAAACCACTGAGCCTCTTGGGCCTACCGATCGGAAGGTTGGCAGTTCAAATCTGCACAACAGGGTGAGCTCCCGTTGCTCTGTC